TGATCAAAGACACTCAGGTACATCAGATTTCCTGGAGCAAACCCTGAGAGATGCCCCCAGGCTGCTACAACTACTTTGGTATCCTCTCTGTCTGCCAGTGAGGAAGACTTACACCAAAAACACGAAAAGGCAGCAGAGGAGTTTCCTTTCCTTTTTTTTTCCTTTTTAATGGGCTTTTTTTCTACAGCAGACGTTTTGCCTTGCAAGAGGAGGGGAAGCACATGTGGAATAATAAGGGCTGTGTTCTAGTCCTGCAGCTGTGCACTCTGGCTGTTGTGCTAAAATGCTAAAGAGCAGAACTTCTGAATGGAATGCAGCCAGCTGTGCAACTAACTGAATCTGTGTTGCAGTTTACTTTTTGTCCCTCTGTTGTGCATGGTGCAAAGGTTCATTTAAGTCCATTTGATCCATCTTAGCCTGAGAGACCATCTAAAGGCTCAAGAACCCTTTGCAGGTGTTCTGGATTTATTAACTGATTAGAGTGTGCCACTGAGTTTAGAACATTGGATATGGAATAGGATATTCTAATATTCTGAGATTTTGGAGGTGGGGTTTTCATAAGCTGTAACCCCAAAATTCCACTACCTCCGCCCCGCTCCGGCACGAACTCCGCAGCAAAAACGGTCCCGTTGTAGTCAATCAGAGCTGTTCCACTACTGCGGCTGTGTGGTGCCGTGCGCCGCCCGCTGTTCCGCCATCCGGCAAAAATAGGATCGATTCTATTTTTGCCGGACGCCGGAGCACCTCCGCAGTCAATGGACAGAAATCACAACTGCCCAACTGGAAAGGGAGCAAGCACAACTTCCGTTATTTCACAATAAATCGATAAACAAAAAGCGTTTTTTGTTTTGTATGCACAGGTTTAACAACTTTTAACAACTATCAATGGCGGCTGAACTTTAAATGCACAAAAATAAGCCATAAATACAGTTTCTACTATCAAAGTAGTCACACTTTGTTGATCCAAACACTGCTGATCTCTCAACACAAATGATGGGCAGATTAAACAGTTCATTGCGATGCTTCTCCCACACAACGGGTGTTTGGATCTAACTTCCGCGTTTATTGCTCGGACTGTATCGCAAGATCTCGAAAATCCGGCGCATGCCTGTTTGCGCACCTCAGGTCTCCGCACCGGAGCGGAGCCGTTGTAGAGCGGGTACCAGTAAAAATTACGTTCGGAAGCGAGTGGCAGCAGAAGGCGGGGGCGGAGCGGAGGTAGTGGAATTTTGGGGTAAGCCATAATCACCACAATTATAACAAAGAAAGTCTAAGCTATCTGGATTAGCATGGAATGGGCCTATCTCACGTTTTAGTTCACATTTTAAATTGAATGACTGACATAATTTAATGTTTACACCAAAAATCAAATTTTTGAGTTGTGTCTTCAGCTCATCATTTGTATTCTCATAACACATTTTCATGAAAACCCACTTGAATATTAAAAGTAATTTGATTTGTAGACTTTGTGTTTGGACAATTTTTTCACAATTATTCAAACTGAGAGATTAGAAAAAGAAAATGACTATAGAGTAAACTGTACTCCTTTTGTGGTAAAGCACCAAAACAGAATGACTAAGAATTATTTTGTAGAGGACAGACTATTCCCTTCAATAAAGACCAGTTATAATAATATTTTGCCTGAATCCGTAACAGAAGAGGTGCTCAGAAGAGTTACTCCTACTGAAGCCTTGCAGCAAGAAGGTCTTGGGTTCAGCTCCCTTCCTTTGAGTTTGCACACTCTCGCTGTGCAAGACTGCTTCAGATTCTCTGGCTTCTTCCGGCAGACCAAAAACATGCATTTAAAGTTCATTGGCGATTTTAAATTAACTGTAGAAGTGAGTCTGTGGGCAAATGGTTGTTTCTACATGTCCCTGTGGATGGACAAGCGACCTGTCCAGGTGCGACCCTGCCTCTCACCCACTGGAGACCGGCTTCAGCTCCAGGACCAACAAGCAGGTACAGAAAGTGAACAGTTGGATTTTATTTCAAAACTTTTGATTTTATATTTAGTGTATGATCTTAATTAGCCCAACTTATTTCGTGAGCAGGAGCTCTAAGGATTAGACTTTTCAATGAACTTTTTTTGTTTTTGCTCCAGGATTGTTACATGGCAACCAGCTCAACTTTCATCCTTCTGCCCTCCAAACTCCACATCTACATACTTTCTTCAAGAGATGATTACAATCTCTCAGGTATTGCTATAATATTTTACACAGCGCACCAGGGGCTGGTAAGAGTCTTTGAAATCCCATCACTCTTGGCATCCATCCTCTCGAGCACTCTAGGAAAATGTGCCGTAAAAACCGGAGCTAGGAGCAAATCCCTCATTCCCATCAACTCACACTTTAACGTCTTTATTCCCAGAACAAAAGGGATTACAAACACCAGATGTATGCAGTTTAAAGAGATTGTAAAATGCAAGATTTGTTGTGTTAGTAGGGGTGGAGGGGGGTCAAGGATAGGGATGTTCTCTGTGCGTCAACAAGGACACAGTTGTTCAGAGGTTAAGAACATCAACACATTACGGCAGGAGGAATCCGGGTGTAGGAAGCTGATCAGAGATGGAAGTTGGAGGGTGTCTATAAAGATGTGTGTTATTCAAACACATTTCTCTATATATTAAACTGGATTAGTTGTCTGCCTCACATCTTTTATAGAGATAAGACTTGAAGCTTGCTAGATCTGGGTGAGCTATATGACTCTCTTTAATCTCAATAGCATGTGCGCGCATGTGTGCGTGAGTGCCCAGAAAACCAGCATGAAAGCTCACATCAAAGGGATCCAGATAGTTTTATTTGGATGTAATTTCTGTTGACTTGGTGACATTATACAGTGGAGGTGCCTTATTAGACCTGGCTGTCATTAAAACTGCACTGCTGCAGCTCTGAGGGGAAATGATGCCACCTCAGGATTTTATCAAGGACATTTTCTTCATGGTATGACTTTTCAACACGCTAAATCGTCTTAGTAACCATGCAGAAAGCTCCTCATTTAGTGTTATTAGGTTTCAGAAGTTTGAATGCATCATTGTAGCTTAAAACGCTACATTTTAAATTGAACAGGAGCAGCATATAGGTCTGTGTGTGTTTGTGTGTGTGTGTGTGTGTGTGTTTCTTTCATTGCTACTGTTATTATTATTATTATTTTGCTTGTAATTAATTTATTCCCGGCTTGTAGGCATAAATCAGCATGTGAAACATGTAAATGTGCTTCTACATTACTTTATACAAGTTCATGTGCGTATGAACATGTCTGCGGAGAGCATTTCTTTCTGCTGCCATGTAATTTATTTCAAACATTCTGGTTGACTGAATCAGGTCAGGGAAGGATGAGGCAACTTTGGTTCTATATGTGGCTGTGCAGGATCAGGTTCTGCAGAACGTTAGGAGAACGTTACAATGTCAGGTTCCGAGCTCTTCTTGATCAGACTAGATGGCTTCATGTTTTGTTGTTGTTGGAAATTGGAATTGCTTCAGTTACCCCTACCTCCCACTAGAAGCATCAGCGGTGCGGAACGGCACTGCTTTAAATTCAAATCCATTACAGTCTACGGGGGAGATTCAAACCAGCCGCGACGCTGAAATTTCCACGCTCATCCCAGAAGGGTCAAGTCGCCCCGCACCACTAAAGATAGCTTTGGGCTACATTTTTGCCACTTCTGGAACATGACAGTTTCAGCAGGATTAGACAGGAAATCGAACAAGGTTTCAGAGTGAAAACTCCTTGGAATTTTCAAAATAAAAGACTATTCCAGGGATGCGATTACATATCTATGTATATTAACGTCTATACAAGAGACCTAACAGCTTTAATCACACCGTCGTTCCCAAAGTGCAGCGGTGTGCTTTTCATGGCTTTAATCCTGGCAGTGGAGAGGAACAACCTCATATATGACATCAAACAGCGATACCAAATGTAATTCCCTTCTTTTGGGTTTAATGGCAGACGGCATAAACTCGAGGGATTCTGTGATCTCGTGAGTCCGGCAAGAGCACGGCAGAGAAGCCGCTCTGCAGCTGAGATTCTCTCGGAGCGTGCTGGACCTCAGCGAAAGGTACAAGTAAAACATTCCGCTCCGCTGATCACTCCGGTGCAAAGTAGAGGTGAGACTTTAGCACAGCTTGAACAAAATAAAAGATTCCACAAGAAGAACGGATAGGATAAATTCTTAATGGCTGATGCTATTAGCGCTTTCTGTTTCCCATAGGGCTGAAAAACTGTCAAATTTAAAAATATCCAATTCAAGTCACCTCATATTTAAGTTTCCTGTATTCTTCTATTTGTTCAGTTGACACTTTTGCAGTGGATGCAGGGTCATTTCTTATCAACTAGAATTTTAAATGATTTATCTTTTCCATACGACGAAATAATATTGTTGTTATTATTATTGTTGTTATTTTTCTATGTAGAAGATATGTAGTAAACTTGTGTTTTTGGCAACATCAACATATTTCACAGACTGTATGTTTGTAATGAAACAGTTTTCCATTTATTTGATTTGATACCAAAATCAGAAACAGGTCCTGACTTTAGTGAGGATTCAAAGCCAGCTAGCCAGTGGTTTACCTTTTAAAACAAGACCACATTTAGGCAAATTAAAACAAACAAACAAACAAAAAGAAACATGCATAAAATGTCATAACAGCTGGCTGAAGGGTTAAGGTGTTTAATCTGCTGGTGGGATGCAACATAAAAAAGAAAAAACATAAAAATAAAACAAAAGAAGTAAAAAGCAAGTCCAAGCAGAGAGTTTATGTTACAATATTATTATCAAAGAATGGAGGTAGACATGTAAACCTTAGACATCAAGCTGAAAAGGACAAAACACATTCAGCCCAAAAAGAGTTTACGAGTAAAGAGCAAAAAGAAAATGTCCATTACTTTCAAAAAAAGGACAAGAAATGTAAGAAAATCAAAGAAGATAAAAAGTTGAGGAGAAAGGGTAAGTTTGGTTTCCCTTGTCATGCAAATCAGATTGGCACTGGGGGAAAAAATACCTTCATCATCCGTGCGGTCACTATCACTTAAATCATCAGTGTGTTTCTTTGTAAGGGGACCTATAGGGACCAAAAAGAAGATGGGAGGAAAACAAGGTGATCAAGAACACACAGTCTTCAAAAGACGCTCTCAAAAGATAAGAAAGTGATTATCATTTCATTGCACTTCTTAAAAGAAAAACGGTCAATCCGACAGGGACATCACCACAAAGTCTGTTTCACATGTATGCAGTCGGACTTTGATGTGTGAGAGTCGTTTTCAGATCATTACAGAGCAAGAAAAGAGGGATTAAAAAAAAAAAGGTCAAAAAGTTCTCTGGTAAAAAGGAAGAATTAACCAAATCGCATCAAACGATGTGAAGCTCTTTAAAACAGTACATTGTATAGGCATTGTCATTATTGGGTGATTGATAATAATCTGCGTAGCTGAAAAAAGAAAACAATCTGTAAAAGAAGCAGCACCTTTAAGAGCGGAGCACTGAACAGAAGCATGTGACCAACTCCACCTGTTGTGTTCCTCCTGCCCCATCAAAGCATGCGCAGGTCCACCTGGTCAAACCTCAGCTTCAGGGCCGGGGGGACCTCCAGTAGGGTTTCAGAGGAGTGGTCAGACTGATCATCAGGAAGTGGCACCAAAACTAAAAGCTATAACAAACTTCAGGAGACTTATGGGGCTGTTGTCATATACAGGCTAATTAAAAATGACTACAGTCTAGTTATGGAACCGCCTTCTGTTATAGGTCTGCTTGGCTTTCTATTTAACACAAGTCCTTTGTGCTATGAAGGACACAAAAATGTGTTAAATAGATATAATTGAAGTCTGTCATTTGAAATTGCACCTAAAAAATTTTTTAAATTGCACTTAAAAACCTTTGGCATTTGGGACTGTCAGGAGGTGGGGGTATTTGCCATCGCCCCACCAGCCCACCCCCACCTTGGTGGTATAAAACGTGTGTTCTGTAATTACATTTGGTTTGGTACAAAGTGCAAGATGTAGATGCTCGGCTGTTAGGCTGAGAAAAAGGTAAAAGAGGGTGTTTGGAGCAGGTAGTCTACCAAAAAGTAATTACAGAGCCAAGTTCAAAAACTGTGATTCAGACTCAGCCTCCATTGTAATCCTTTGATCTTCAGCATGAATGGTTAGAGCTGAGACTTAAAAATAAGTGATTTAGGATTCAGAATAAATCCCACGATTAAAGTTTCTGCTTTTAATAATTAATGGATCCCAGCTCCTGCCTACAAACATCATCTTGGGGAAATTATGTTATTTTTCACTTTCTAGCCATGTGCAGTAAAGCTGCAGCTTTTTTGGTAGATGTAGAAAATGTTTTTACTACATATTTTCTGGCTCAAAAGAGAAAGTTTGGCAAAGCAACAGCAAAACAGGAAAAAGGGGACACCTCTCTTTGATTAATTACAGCGTTGTTTGTTCAGTTCCCCAGAGTTATCTTCAGTTTGTAGAGAGTAAAACAGGAAATTGGTTTGGGCTTAATCCAAAAAAAGTTTACAGCATTTTTCTCTACGTTTTGCCTTTTGACAATGGATAGTGTTCTGTTTTCGGGGATCTAACGTACTAGTTGAACAGGGGGAGTGGTCAGCTGCTTCGTTACTCAAACCAACATGTTAATATTAGTGGGATTTTTAAACACGACAAGAAACACGTGCCCCTTTAATCAAAGACAAGCACGACATCAGCACACACCTCAAAAACATTCAAGTCAACGAAACGCAGAAATTTGCACGAACACATTAAGATTCAAAGCATGCAGTCTCAGACATTAAAAAGTATGATTGCATGGCATGCAGGAAACCACAATCGCATTTTCAGTTTTTCAGTCTCCACTCACTCAATCGCTCGCTCGCACGCACACACACACACATAAAGCAATGGCTTAGAAAATGTGATGCCACAAAGCCTCCGACTAAGTTGTGGAAAGAGGACCAGACTGCCCTAGTCCTTCCCACTCCCTCAGGTAACTACACCACTCCACATCAAGCAATCATACAAAGATTATCTAAAGCAAGCTGATTTGATTGTGGGTCCTTCTGCAGCTCAAAGTCTATATTGTAAAAGAGAAAAAGAAACAACTACAGAGATTATTAACGTAAAGGTGTACATCTGCGTCAGTAGTTGTTTAACTATTTTTATCTAATGATTCTAAGAAGAGGTTTCCTGCACAAAATTCTGTTCTACAGCAGTCTCCCGGTTTCCTTTGTGAATTTGACAAGTGATTTGATAAGCAAGGGCTGACTGTGCTTTTTATACATGCTGAATAAGCACTAGACACAAGAGCCGCTTATTTTAAAAAGTGGAGCGTGCAAGAAGAACAGAGAAACTGCTGTCCAGGGATGTGTGGTTGTTACAAAGAAGGATGCTGCGTAGAGAGATCACTGACAAACAATACGTGAGGTTTTAGGAAATTCATGTTTGCTTTCGCCATCAGCTTCACGACAATGAGTGATTGGGAGCTCTTTATACTATTTTATCTTGTAATATCAGGCAGAAAGTAGGCACTAATCATCTTTCCTGCTGTAGATAGTGAGCAGGACTTTATTAACCCAAGCAGAAGCATCCGCGGCATTAGCGAAATGACAAATTGCTTTTCGCCTGTACGACTGTTTCCAATAGAGCCAAATGTTTATTTGCCCAAAACTTGTTCTACCTTGGAAAGTGTGGTAGTGATAACATTGAGATGCTCTGAAATAATTTGGGAAGCCTAACCCCAAAATTCCACTATCTCTGCTCCGCTCCGCTCCGGCACGAACTCCGCAGCAAAATCGGTCCCGTTGTAGTCAATCAGAGCTGTTCCACTACTGCGGCCGTGCGGCGCAGTGCACCGCCCACCGTTCCGCCATCCGGCATAAATAGGATCGATTCCATTTTTGCCGGACGCCGGAGCACCTCCGCAGTCAATGGACAGAAATCACAACTGCCCAACAGGAAAAGGAGCAAGCACAGCTTCCGTTATTTCACAATAAAGCGATAAACAAAAAGCGTTTTTTGTTTCAAATGCACAGGTTTAACAACTTTTAACAACTATCAATGGCGGTTGAACTTTAAATGCACAAAAATAAGCCATAAATACAGTTTCCACTATCAAGGTAGTCACACGTTGTTGATCCAAACACTGCTGATCTCTCTACACAAATGATGGGCAGATTAAACAGTTCATTTTGATGCTTCTCCCACACAACGGGTGTTTGGATCTAACTTCCGCGTTTATTGCTCGGACTGTATCACAAGGTCTCGAAAATCCCTCGCATGCCGGTTTGCGCACCTCAGGTCTCCGCACCGGAGCGGAGCCGTTGTAGAGCGGGTACCAGTAAAAAATTGAGTTCGGAAGCGAGCGGCTGCGGAAGGCGGGGGTGGAGCGGAGGTAGTGGAATTTTGGGGTAAGCGTTTGTTTGAGCTGCTAATCATGCAACAGGAGCTACACACAGGTTGGTTCTGACTGGACAGAAAAGCTAATGGCTAGACAAAGCTTAGGATCAATGCCCTAATCTAATCTCAAAGGTTTCGTTACAATCCAGCTGAAGATCATTCATGAAACCTTTTTTTTTTTGTTGTCGATTGTAAATTTCACAGTTACAATAAAGGTTGTCTTTTTATACCGAGGATGGAAAGTTGCTGTAACATTTTTATTCTGTTCAGCCTTTTTTTTTTCAACTTTACATCATTTCAAAATTAGAGGGTTTCTTAGAGCAGGATAAACTTCCATTTAGACGACACCGGATTAAAGACAGCAGACCGACAGCCTCTTAGGGTAAATAACCATTGCTCCTATGTGAGTGGCTAAATATCTGATGCAAAAGTTGCACACTGTCAAAGTTTCTAAAAGATCATTTGCCTGAAACTACTATTGAAATTGGAATTGTGATAGGGTTGCACCGATCTGGTTTAGTCTTGGTCCAGCATTGACTAGCCATTACCTTGTGAAGTAAAATAAAAATATCTATTTTTTCCAAACCGGGATCCTTCAGGAATCCAGCTACAGCAGGTTCGATATCAACTTCTTGTAACCTTCCTACAGAGATCCACTTCTAAAAAGCCAAACCATTCCTTTACTGTGGTTTATCAACCATTTCATCAGCGTTCTCCAGGCCTGGATGTTGGAGCTGTTTAGAAAAAAAAAAAAAGACAGCATCTAAAACAAAATAAATATTAAGCTCCAGGGGCGGATTAAGGACTGAAGAACATCCGGGGCTTAACACACGCACTAGTCAACATCATATATGTCTTGTACCACATAATTTTTAATCTGAAGCTACATATTAAGCATTTTCTGGGCAGAGTATTGTTCCTGTTAGTGTTTAGTGTGAGATGATAGTAAATATTCCCTTTCTTTCTCCAACAACTTTACCTGATAGTAAGCTAACTTTAGGCAAACCAGCAGCACAACAAATATTTTCAAATAAGACTCACAAACCTGAGTCAACACCAGTCTCATCAAAGCTGGGGTTCTGTCGTTGTACTTTTGGTCTAAAAAAACGTCCTTATATCCATCTTCACTCATGCGTTTCAGGCAGAGAGTGTAGAAGAAGCCGGCTGCTGAAGGGCTTCTTCTTCAGTGGTGGAGGCTCAGGCAGGCTGTATACAAACTACTGCCAGCTGCTCCCTCTCTGTTGGACTTTGGTACTGCATGTTACATCTGCGATTTAGATTGGGGGCTTTTCATGAAACATCCGGGGCTTCAGCCCAGGTAGCCGGGCCTAACGCCGCCCCTGTTAAGCTCTACTGAAGAATATCTCTTAACAGATTTTACCTTTCAAGGCCAATTGAAAAAGAACAAAATTCACTCAAACTGTGTTTTTGCAACAAACAGATTGAAGGACATTCTGTGAGATAGTTCCTCTGTAAAGCAGTTACATAAAGAATGTCGGTTTTGGTCTACGTCACTATGTAACACTCTGCCATCAGTCAGTGTCCATGTCACACATACTTACAACACTCACAAAAGACATTGTGTCTATTTCATTCAGATCAACAGGTTTGCTGTGCGCCAAGGCTCTAATGACTGAAGTTGGAAAGAAGATGTGTTTTCAGAATGTGTCCTTGAAAT